TGCGAACAGCCCAAACGAGCCCCTGCTGGTGTTGTAATCAAATCTAAGTCAAAAATGCGATTTTCTCTTTGTTTTTTGTAGCACCTCAATAGTGGTGGTCCTTGCGGCTCTTCTGTGTTTCACTATACTAACCTACCATTGTCACCAGACTGTCCCCGCGCCGCTCAGGACCTCCTAACGCGCTGGCTTGATGTGCCTTCCCAAAAAGTGCGAATTTCTCATTCTTTTTTCTGGTACCTCATTAATGCCTGTAAGTCCGAGTTTCCTGTGCTCATCCATCCTTATTCCGACCCACCATTATCCATAGACTGTCCCGGTGTCTCTCCGGACCTCCCCACGCGCCCGCTGGATGTGCCTTCCCAAAAAGTGCGAATTTCTTATTCTTTTTTCTAGCACCTCAATACTACCTGTAAGTCCGATGTTTTCGCGTTCTTCCATCCTTATATTAACCAAATATTGTCCCCAGACTGTACCCGCGCCTCTCAGGACCTCCTAACGCGCCCGCTGGATGTCCATTCTCAAAAAGTGTGAATTTCTCATCCTTTTTTCTAGGACCTCAGTGAGACCTGTAATTCCAGGTTTCTAGTGTTATTTCTTGATCATTCTAACCCATTCTTGTCTACAGACATCCCTCGCGTCGCTCAGCGCTGTGGAACGCCCAGAGAACGTGCTCTTTCTCCGAAAGTGCGGGAAGTCTATTAATTAAAAAAATTACCCTCTGCGAACAGAACTTGAAACCTCGTGGCTTTAATTCTCTCCTACAGCCATTGACCCAATCTTAGTTCAAGTTTCTGTACTAGTAGTACACTGTACATAGTTATATGATTTTCACCCTCGCGCGTGCTAACGTCATCAATATTTGTACAAGCGATCCGTCTCGTCTCTCGCAGTCATGCTCGCGACGCCTGCCGGGCCAATTCCCCCTCTTTTTTTTTCTGGATCGCGGCAGCGGCGCACAAAAGGCTTCAACGTCAAGGAACTTCGAGAGCTTAATAAAATCCGGCGCTGCCCAATTTCATCCCCTTCACCCCCGCGCAAACGGTCGCGTCTTGGCAATGAAAATTTGGTGTATGTGTTCCATTCCTAAAATTACACAGATTTGATATTCAACTTTCCTACTATTTAGCGTCTTGGAAAAGGATTATCGTTACGAGGACGAAATGTGTAGGTCTGGTCTCTTTTAGTGCCGCAGTAAATGAAAAACTCCTCACCTTATAGATTTCCTCGCCCCTGGAACGGATCCCCGTACTCTGTGTCCGTACTGCGATACCGTTTTGCCAGCCCACTGTTCGTCTAAACTGGTCTATCTTCTCGATATGGCAAAAAGAGCGTCGAGCTCGGAGTCGCGGCCTGCGAATCCGCTGGGGCGGAAGGCCCCGATGCTAGTGTATGCCAGCCTTTGCAGTCGGCACCATTTCGAAAGTGAGGTTGCAGTCGAAGGAGCGTTGAACGGGTGGCCAACCTCCATTGCATGGGAAGAGCTCTCTCAACGAGTACGTGCCATGAAAGACCCTCTCCAGAAAATTCTCGGGGATCCTGGCGCACCCATCGTGTATAAAGGGCAAACTACTGCGAACTTGGAAACCCTGGCAGCAGATTTCACTGGTCCACGCATGGAGTGTATCTTTTGGACCGAGGTACTGCAGGAATTGAAGTTGAAAGGGTCGAGGCAAGTCGCCGGCGTCCATGGCCAGTTTGATACATTCAAACAGATGCAGCCAGGATAGTGAGTAATTCCAGAGTCGCTTTCTCTTGCTGTTAGGTTCTTATCTTCTTCGTACAGCTATGGTGAATTGGGGTCTGTCATTATCCACGAGACACTGTACGACCTCTTCCCCGAAACAAGTGTCAACTTGGATTTCCTTCACCCCTTCGACCGCCGGGACTTTATCGGACGTATTCTCGTTCCAGAGGTTGGAATGCGGCTCATTATGGAGGACTTGTCACTAGACAATGCGGCGGCGGCTGTCAAGGTGCTCAGGGCAAGTGCGAGCTACGGAGTCGGAATGTTCCCAGCAGATAACTAGTTGGATCTCATTATGAATGCGACCGTCATGACTACAATATCTGAATACATTGCAAAAGCTTAAGACATTGACGACGAAACAAATGTACCACGAAGGACTGCCTCCGGGAGCATGTGCGGGCGCTGCCCTGTGCGTTCCAATTCAGCAACAACATAACGGTTATGAATTGCGATCATCTCGTCCAAGAAGAAGGTATAGCTAGGATGAGAATAAGTTTTTTTTTTTTGGAATAGCGGAGATTGGTGCGCACCGCAAGATTGGCATTTCCTGTACAACACTCTGGAATTTACCAAACCAGGCATTGCTCTGCTCGGCAGCTGAGGAGTTGAAAACCCAGGTGTTGTCAGGACCGAGGAGCTCCCGAAACATGGCCGGGTTGCAGTGAACTTGGCAGAAAGCGTCCCCGTCCTTGTGTTTACATTTAAAATGCCACACATCAACGGGCAGACCGACGTCATCGAAGTAGTGGTCTCCCGATGCCAAGAGATGCTTCATGAAGGAGCAATTATTGTCGTAAAAGATGTAAGAAGGCATGGCACCGGGATATTGAGGTGGAAATGTCGCTTTTAGGAACACCTACAAGAATGAGAATAATTTTTACAAGGAAAGAAAGGTCTTACTGATACGCCACTGACTCCCTCAGAACCAAAGAAAGTCGCTCGTGAGATGATAACTCCACAGCAGCGAACGAAAAGTTGTTCATTGTGCGTCCATGATCGAGAGTTCTTACCCTTAACTGGTGGGTTTGTCGAAGACGAGGAAGCGAGGGTGGGAGTGGATTCAGACAGTGGGGGCGCAGCAGGTGCAGCGGATGATGTCGACCCGGCTGGAGGGACTTGGGATACACCCTGATTCTGGAGACGATTTTTTAATTGAAACATAGCTGCATGCCGTTCCCTTGAAGCCAGCTCATGAGCTCGGTGAGGTTCCAAGGCGCAAGTATTGAATCCGGGGTCCACTGCGGTCGAGCACCCGTTGATATAACATATGTTCTTGAGATTTGAATGTATTGCGCAAAATCGGGCCTTTTGAGAAGAAAGGGGTTCTGTACAATCGTGAACAGAGCAGGTCAGACACCGCACAGTGACGCCATCATGAACCCCGGCCGTCATTTGGTCTGGTTCAGAAGGATTAACCCAAGGACAGCTCAACAAAAGGGACAGAGACATACACCAATTTCCGTCTTCACCTTGGTACACTTTCATGCATCGGTCGCAGGTATGGGCCCACATCTCTTGCCCCGTTCCAACCATACGATAATTACGTTCCTTCAGAGCATCATCAAGACGATGCCTTTGTGTCGTGTGATGGGGAACTGAGAGTATCTCATCCCACGAGGATTTATCCCGTAAGACGGCATGATAGAAAAAGGCATCTAGTACTAGTTCACCGTCGAGTTGATGCGTGAGGCGAGAGGCATTTGGAATGGAGGATACTCCGAGGGCAAGGTTATACACGCGGGCAATGCTCTCAGCAGAAGCACTACAAAGGGTTAAACCATGGAAGTTAAGTTAAATTCTGACGTACTGGGTTATAGCCATCTGCATTTCTATGTAGACGCAGAGCTTCTTCTCGACATATGAGGCGGTGGTTACCTGTATGAAGTTGGGCAGCAAAGAATCGTAGTATTCGCGAAGTGCATGAGTATTAGCGGCGTCCTTCACAAAGTAGTTGGGAAAGTAGCGAGTGTGGCAGCCTTCGGAAACCCTTTAGAAGACCAGCACGAGAAGAGCTGTAGTATGCGCACCGCGACAGTATAAAGACCGTGAGAAGACCGGAAGTACGCCTCGGTGTAGTGTATACAACCTTGCCTCGACGACAACCTCCTCGCCTAGTGTTGCTTTTTTGCACCCTGTACGGGGGCATTGATAAACCGGGGGATTCAGTGCCTCCGCACCTTTATCCATGTCAATAAGCCATTGTCCAGAGATAGATTGAATGGAACAACCAACCAATTCGATGTTCGGTGCTGTGAAGACGAAAAGCATCGTCGACGGGTTGAGACTGAGGATCCTGATGATAGTTGGCGGCAATATCGCGGAATGCAAGCCAGGATAGCAAAATAATTTCATCCGGAAGACTCAGCACCGATGATAAAAAGGCAGCAGCGTGCTGAGGCAGAACAAGAGGTACAACTCCATTTTTGTCGGCGATCTCAGGCCATATACGGTGCGTAAACTCGAGGAAGCGCATTACTTGTGTGAGGTCAAGTGTCTTGAGCAGTGGAGGATGTGCCGCCATGCGAGTGTAGACATCGCCAAAGAGCACAGGCATTATAAGATGAGTGGGTGACAGAGTCCGAATGAAGAGCCTGGGAGATTGCGTCAAGTCACCGAACCGCATCATAAGGAATTTCGTGAACCACATTTGGTGAACGGAAGACGGGGGAAATTGCTTAAGGGAAAATGTTGAAGGGAATTCGATGAGAAATGTGTGAACGGAAATCGGTGAACGGGATTTGAAGAATTTGTAGAAGGGAAAACAGTGAAGCAAATTGTATGAGGAATGCGTGAAGAGAAATCGGTGGAGCGGAAATGGAAGAATCCGCTGAAGGGAAAGCACTGAAGGGATTTGCGTGAACAAGGCATTGCTGAACGGATTTTGCTGGACGCGGAATCAACTTTTTGCTGCAATGAAATCGCTGCAGTAAAACCGAGCGACATCACTGGAGGGAATTCTGTCAACGGAAATCGGTGAATAGCTTTTACTGAACAAAGTGTGGAGTTTTTTCCATGGAGTCAAATGCATTCACAAGTAAGCTGGGAAGTGAGTGAACCAGACGGAATCTGCTGAAGTGATAGTTCTTCATGAGAATCCCCCATCAATACGCCATCAGTCCCCCAAAAGGCCATCACTCCAGCATCACCGCCGTCTTGCATATTTCAGTTCGCACTCGCCTGTATTTACGTCCCTGCCGTGGCCCCAGATTCAATAAGTTTGCAACATATCCCGACTGTCCCAGTTGTTGCTGCAGGGCTCTTGGCGCAGCTGGTAGCGCGTTCGCTTCGCATCTACGTTGATGTGCGAAAGGTCGTTGGTTCGATTCCTACAGTGTCCATTGCTTTTTATTTACAAGTGATTTTTTGATTTTTGTGATAGAGAATGTTGCGGGGATCAAGCTCGACATCGGCGTTGATGGGCGGGACATTGAAGGAGAGGGGCGGCGATGGGGCTGGCGGGAGTACATCGTGATCGGTGATGTCGGACCAAAGTTGCTTGAAAGACTATGGAGGAAAGGATTGTGATTTTTTGGTTGAAAAATCGAAGGCAGATGATTCGAACTTCAAAACAGCGGATTATATGTTATGCTGCGACGGTCAGCACTCAAGCTCATGGGCGAGGAACCGACAACCACGACGGAAAAAACTTTCTTGGATATACAACGCGAATATTTTCGACAGTATTTTCGACAGTCTGTGTTACCGGGGCTCTGCTTTTGAATGCCTCTCATCTGTGAACCTCTACAGTTTTCAAAACCACCCACCATATTTGCCTCCCTGAGCCCATTGGGATGGACTGCCTTTATGCCCCAGACATGACAAGGGAAGTCGGCAAAGCCCTGAGTGGCCGGGCCTTGCAACCGCTAGGTTTGTTTGGACTGTGTGGCTTTCCTCACGCGTACACCCGGTAGCCCGAGAAGTCCTTTAGTTGAAGGGCTCGAAGATAGTAGACACCAGGTTTAAAATGCGCACAGCTTTCAAGAGCGAAACAGAGACCTTCTACGAAATGCTGGGCGCGTTGGAATGTGAGTTTTAAAAAGGGTGTCGTCGCCCAAAGCAGCACATAGGCTCCCAGCGTCGAAATGCAGGAGGTGGTGTGATTTCGTTGCTCCTCCATTTTATCTGCGCGTTTGTCCACGGAGTTGCGCTCACAGCAGTGCTGCCGTCTGCGAAGATTCAGCGCCGCAGTCGACACCAGTTCTATCCCGTAGTTTGTTTGAAGTTGCGGGAAGCCGATGGAGATCAGCCTGGATGCGAGAGCGGATACTTCATGTCGAAGTTGTCGACGTTCAGGTCAGTGCGTTCGAATACGGGACTTGTTCAAATTTGCCATGTCCAGCCCATGGTTAATTTGAAGGCTCTGTCGTCAAATGTAGTTTGCATTTCTATGTATGCGGGAGATGTTGCCTCAGAATGCGAGTATCGTGGGGCATACGGAAAGTCAGCAGCCGCCGTTGTAGAGGGATCTTGAGGTCGGGGAGAAAGCAAAGTTCAGATTCTTATTATGTGGGAATGCGAAGTGCGGAACAGCTTTTAATAAGTCGTGCAGGGATGGCGCTCCCATTAAAGTGCGTTGTCGCCACTCCAGCATTCTGAGATAGAAAGATAGCTTGGAAGGACTTGTAAATTTGTAACGTGAGCGAGGAGGGGCTGTCGCGGAGGTAGAGCTACCCGGGCCGCCACTTGAGAGGTCTGTGTCGGCGCCGACTCGGTCTGTTGCTCAGAGCAGCATGGAGCATGGACAGACCACAGATAAGAGATGGGAGCTGAATATGCTGAGTACTGAGTGCCCGAGACGTTCCGGCGTTCGCGTAGCCAAATATCGCTTGGTGCCACGGAAGATTGCGAGGACGGTTCCATCGACGAAGGAGGCTGGAATGGAGTCTATGCTGCGAGAAACGGAGAGAGTCGTTGGCGAGTACTGTCGTCGAGCGGTTTAAACGTGGCTGCCTGGATTTCGTAGTGCTTACGTTATCATCACGGTCACGATTGTGACTCATCTGTTTCAGACCTCGATGTTCTCGTTTCGAACCGCGCGCCGATGCGCGTCTACCGTGTCGAGGACTCGCAAATACTCTAAGGCGCCTGAAGCGCCAACTGACCCGGCGGAATACTGCCGACAACTGGTGCGGAAGCACGACTACGAGTCGTTTCTGATCAGCAAGTTCTGGCCCACCCATTTGCAAGATGGGTACTTTGCAATCAAGGCATTCTCTGTGCGTTGACCCGGATAATTTTCTACGTCGAGTACGTATTTAATCGAATAACAGACCGAGCTAGGAATGGTGCAAGACAATGTGAGCCTGCCGACGATCGGCGCGGTGCGGATGCAGTTTTGGCGGGACGCGGTGCGGGATATATACGCTGTGCGGATAGGATGTTACTTGGTTGATTTTTACACTGACAGAAAGGCAGGACAGACCGCCGCGGCATCCCATTGCGCTTGCGCTGCACCGGGCAACGCAGACGGCTAGTCTGCCGCCGTACCACCTGAAACGGATCGTCGACGCGCGGGATGAGGAGCTGCAGACGGCATCGTACCCCACGAGCGATGCGCTCGTGGCGCATGCGGAGAGCGTGTCGTCGAGCGTGCTGTACCTACTGCTTGCGCTGCGGGGGCTCAGTAGCGCAGAGGACCTTGCACATGCAGCGTCGCACCTCGGGACGGCGCAGACGCTGGCGACGCTACTGTGGTCGTTACCTCACCATGTCGGGCAGCGGCGGCTGCCTATCCCACTGGACATTTGTGCACGACATGGTGTGAAGCAGGAGGAAGTGTTCCGACGGGGCGGCGGCGCGGCAGGGATCGATGCGGCAGTATTCGACTTTGCGGTGCTCGCCAACGACCACCTGCTGACGGCGCGCGAGGTGTTTAAAGGCGGGAAGGTACCTGCGGTTGCGATGCCGGTGTTTTTGGCAGGGGTGCCTGTTGCGAGTTTTCTTCAGCAGCTGGAGCGGGAGAACTTTGATGGGTTTGCACGGTCGCTGGCGATGCGGGACTGGCGGCTAACATGGATGATATGGAGTGGGTATTATAGGCGAGTGTTTTAGCGCAATAAGAATTCTGTAAAACGTTGTTCCTGGATACGAACGGCGAAGTGATGAAAATCACAAATAACCCAACAAGGCAATCGGCAACCGTTCAGACACCCAATAAAGCAATCGACACTCGGGCCGGTCACCGCTTTTTGGCTCTGACCTCTCTGTGCCCGCAACGGCCATGTCCATCCTCCCCGATTTTGAAGCATCCGCGCAGCCTGACCTCCTACCACACACAACTTTCCAACCATCTTCCGCCGGCTTTCTCCCTAAATTTCTTTCGCTCCCCAACGAGGTGCTTCTGCTTATTCTGTTTGAAGTAGAACATCCTGCCGCTCTGACCTGCGCCTCCCGCCGCCTCAACACCTTCTCCCAGGACCCCTACGTCCGTGCGCACTACTTTCTCGCCCGCTACGGCTCTCTCGAGGCCCTTTACTTTGCCCTCGCCCGCGGGAAGCTTCTGACCCCCCGTGTCCTCGATGTATGCTTTGTTCAACGGTTTCAACCCGCTCGCGCTCACTCGCCCAGATCCTCATTGCCAGCGGCGCTCATCTCTCGCGCTACCTCGTCCAAGTGGCTTTCCACCACTTTTTCCACTCCCAGTCCCACTTCCTCAAGCCCTCTGCGCCTTGGGCCCGCCAAGTACCCCTCGCCACCTTCTCCCACTTCCTCAATCTCGCCGCCGACAAATATGGCGATATTCCGCGCGGAAAGGCGCGTGCACCGCTTTTGTCCATTATAAAATAAAAAAACTAAAACTTTGATGCAGAATGAGGATGACGGCTCGCTCTTTGCCACCTTTATCAAAGAGTCCAAGTTCCCCGCCGAGTCGCAGCGCGTGTCTTGGGAGACCATTCGCGATATCTTTGAAAACTACCATGTGCTTTTTCTATCCTTGCCTTTATTTAGCTACCAACTCATCGCCTGCAGTTCATGCCCTTTTGCCCCCGGGACCCACTCATGGCACAATTCCCTCTAGCGCTTGCAATAGAACCCCGCTTGCTCCCGTACGCCGTCGCAAACGGCTTTCAGATGGATGCAAAGGTACGCCGTCTCCTTTGTGCGCTTATCACTCTCATAACATGTCCAGTATCGCGACTTTGTGTTCCGCAAAATGTTCGAGCACACGGCCGCCCCCGCCGCTGCCCACACGGACGAGATTGTCGCGAATGTGCGCGAGCTCTGTCGCCTTGATCCTGAGTGCGTGTTCCGTCCGTGCGAATTAATTAATTAGATTTTGACGCGTGCGCAGTATGTTTGTTACGCGTACCGTCGCGGCCGAAGTCTGCCTCGAGGCTAAGACAAACCAGGCCGCGTACGGCGCGTTGAAACAACTCGACCGCGCGGGGGACTTGCCCTTTACACTCCGGTATGTCGCTTTGGTCGTTATTGATTTATTTATTTTACGTTCGTTGCAGGGAACTTGTCCAAGATGTAATAAAGGTGCATGGATTTTCAGCTGATGAGAACACGCGTCTAACTAGGGCCCACCAGCTGTACAGCAAGGCGCGCGCGATCACGACTTCGGCCACGACCCAACTTCTCACGCAGCTGTATACCGACTTTCTCGCGCCGCCGCCCATCCCTGCCGCTTTGGCGTCCTCCTCGCGTGCCCATTCTAATTCGCGCGCACTCATCGACCCGACCGTGCGCCGCGCCATGCTGCTCACTGTTTTTGCTGCAGAACCGCCTATAGGTGTGAGCGCGATGCCCGCGCGACTCGCGCCGCTGCGGCTTGGCCCACTCAGCATCAAGGACGCGGCAGACGTGTTGCTTAGCGCGTTTGTTGAGAAGCACGCGCCGCTGATTGAGTATATGCGCCGCGAGGGCGTGGCGAGCGGAGAGAGCGCCGAGGGCACGCGTAAGCCGACGCCAGCGGAGCTGCGCACGCTCGCGGAGGAGGTTGCGGTGCGCTGTTTGACGCGTGAGAGTAAGGGCAGGACGCTGAAGCGGTTGTGTGAGGCGTATCCGACTGTTCGGGGGCGTATTATCCAGGCCGTGTTGGATGATCATGAGGTCAAGATGGAGGGGCTAGGGAAGGCGGCGGAGGGGGTCGAGCCATGGCGTGCGCAGCTGGCGCGGGGCTCACTCGGTGGGATTGTGTCTGAGATGGAGGGGAGCGACAGTGAATGGGATTTCGAGGAGGAGGAGAGCGATGAAGACGAAAATGAGGACGACGAGCTGGACAGCGACAGTGAGATGTCGGACGGGAGTATGTCGGAGAGCGGGGATGGCAACGCGGGAAAGACGAAGCTCCCGGCGCCTGAGCTGGGCCGTATTGGACTCGAGACGCTCAGTG